AGAAAAATAAACGTTATTTATTCCAGGATAAACTAAGAATACTATTTCTTGCGTTACTTTTTTTTATCATGTAAATATACCAACATCCTTAATACACAGTATTATAATAAAATAATAAATTGAAATTTATTATTTCTTTGTATAAATACATTTCAATTAAAATATGGATATAATATAAAATGCATAATTTTTAATGGCATAATTATGAAAATTTGTACTCTCGGTCTATTCTTTTATTATGAAATCTTGTAAATAATTTTTAAGCAATATATATCACATAAATTATAAAATATGCAATCAGTCTTTACCTATGTACAAAAACATTCTCTTTTTAGTAAAAAAAGATTTCTATTCAAATTACTAATTTTTAATATATTCTACAATGTACAAAAAAGCAAAGCGTTTGTATTTCAATATAAATATTTACCCATAACAGATATTAATTAAAATATCAGTAAAACACAGCTTACAAAAATATTCACATATTTCAACTAAAAAATTACTTATAAGAAATATATCCTTTGAGCTTTTCATATTCAGTCGCATAGAAAATGTATGCATTTTATATTTTCATTATAATATATCAAAGTTGTTAATGTTTTTTATGGAACTATTATGTGTTTTATTTCACTCAGTGTAATACATGGAATCCAAAAAGGATTTTGTAATTTCGCCAACCACACTTCGGTCAGGGATACTTTGGCTCATTCCATACATTGCAAGCTGAAAAATATTACACATAACGATGAATATTTTAAAACGTAAATCTATTTAAAATTACAAATTGTAATTGTAATTGTAATTTTGTGTTTACCTTCCCCTTCACTGGAACATTTCGATCTTCCATAATTATTTCCAGTTCCGTATTAACATCCTCCAAAAATTGATCCGCTACTCCTGGCTCGGTATGCACATGTGTAACGCATATGTGTATACCGCAAGGAAATTGTAGTGGGTTCAAACTCCAACCTTTATTGCTAAGAGCTTCCGATAGTCTATAGATGTGAAAATCATTGGAACCGATTGCAATAACGGATGTGGCTGGTGTGCCAAATATGAAAATGCCATCCATCTCCCTCAACCTATATTCAATTTTTTTTTAAATCGATATACATCATATATAATATTTGTAATCAATTCTAGCATAAATGTATCTCTGAATGCGTACTTTCGTTCGATATATCTTGTAGTTTCAATTATCTTTTTAGTCGATTCCACATATTCATCAAATCCATAATACAGTAATGTTGCCCAACAAGTAGCTATAATGCCTCCTGCTCGAGAACCACTAATTGTTGGACTTCCATATATGCCACCAGGCCAATCTGTCGTTATACTATACTGATAGTGTCGGTATTTTTTGTTTCGATAAAGGATTAGCGACGATCCTTTCGGAGCATATCCATACTGAAAGAATTATATGTTTTATACGTACTTCTTAAACAACAT